TGATTTTTAAAACGGTGGAGAAAATTATACGCATCTTATTACGCAAAGTAAATAATTATAAAGCGGTGGATTTCTTTAAAAATTGAATGGCTACCTTCACTGTCGAGAAATTTCAAATCAAGGTAAAAACATTCTTTTAATTGGTTACGTAGTACATTTCCTCGTCATATTTAATTTTCTTTTTTTCTTTTTTTTTTTCACTAAGAAACTTCGACTTGTCGGACTTTTATCGTTTATCAAGTAGAAAGGAGTCACGTCGGCTACAGTGCGCCAGAGGGAGGTGCGAAACCAGAAGGAGAAGGAAAGAGAGAAAGAAATCTCCTAAGTGCAGATCTATGTTTTAATATCGTCGCAGCGGCGATTTAATTAATTTCTCAATTCCTACAGAGTTTTCATGGGTACGACGCCAGTCGTGTGGATGATGGAATTTATAATTGATTCTGCGATGCGTTTAGCGAAGATATCACGTATAGATACGTATTTACGAAATAGTCGTGGCATTGATGATAGGTGATTAATAGAAATCCAATTAAACTTTATCAAAAGCCTTTTCACTGTGAACACTGTATAACTATATGTATCTTCAATTTAGTCTGCGTTACAGCCACTCATCAAATATTGCTTGATTCAAATTATCCTTCATAAATGGCCTACTGTTTCATCATAACTGTCAAATATGACGATGACACACTGATTTTATAAAATTTATCGTTTAAGTCATAAATGGTTTTCGAACCAAAAATTAATATATAGATGTACGTAAAAGACGAGTATTTTTGGTTTCATTAGAAAAATTTCAAACCCCATTATTTAATTATGAATTAAACGAATTTCATGGTCTATGCCTATACGCGTCCCACGAAGAATACCTTCATAAATGTTCAACGTGATAAGCAAGTGGTGGTTCGCGAATCATATAAATTCCATATAACTGGCCAGCCTTATTTGAAAAAAAAAAAGATATGAAACTTTATTACGCTCCGGTATATTTATCCTGGTAATACGAATTGCACCTGTCCAGTTACGTTAATCTTCATAACTACACATTAATTCCCAAGCAATTCAAATTTCCACTTCTCTGAACTATCACGACGTAGTTAGCAGGATCATCCAAAATGTGAGAATGGAGGTTACACGCGGATACCCAAACAAGGCAATTCTGCATGCATTTATGCCGGCTGCAGTTTCTCCCCCATACTCGTTCCCATTCGGTCGCACTTGTGCCCACACTTTGTCAGGTACACCTCCGACCATAAACTTTGTCAACACACCTTGGCCAATGTATTGCAGAAATGCAACGAAGTGTCTCCTTCAAGATCCCAATGCAATAACTTAACCCTGCATATACTATATTCCGATAAATATAATCTTAAAGAAGAATCGACACTACGACATAATTCAAAGCTACCTACTCAGGCTTCGAAAAAACGATTAATAAAAAATAATAGAATTAAAAAAAGAAATGAAAGATAAAAAAGGAACATGAAATTCTCTGGAGTTGGAATTTTAGAAGCGGACTTTGGTACATCGCAGTGATCTCCGGTTTGGCATCGACTGCCGGACTTGCCATATTCGAGTCTTGCTTGCAAGCAGTACTCACGCCTCAAAGCTCTTGGCTACGCTTCAGAAAACTTGCGGGACGTAAGCTTCGCTTGGCAACTGTATCAATCACTCAATATCTCAGTTCTCTCTCTCTCTCTCTCTCTCTCTCTCTCTCTCTCTCTCTCTCTCTCTCTCTCTCTCTTTTTCACATATATATATTTTCCTACAAACACTGACCCACAGAGGGGTACGTATACCTCCAGTTTGTTTGGGCAGAGATTTCATCGGGTTTGTGACGTGGCGCGGGGCCAGAACAGAATCGAAGGAGACCATTGAAAGTTGACGGTGTGCACGCGATCGCGAATTTCGTTGCTATAGGTTAAAAATCGGTCAACAGGAATAGCCAGTCAAGGATCGAGTAGCTGCTTGCTGAAATTGGTATTTGATACATGTATCCTGGCTGGACCTGTTATCAAAGATGAAAAGAGCGAGGAGGGAGAAAGAGAGATAACTTTTTGGCCTGATTTTCAGCTGTATCGTTATGGAATGAGAAAATCGGCATGATGGGAGATCAGGGACGTGGAGTAATACAGGTCGGTACGTTAACGTGGAATTAATCAAGCCTATCTGTATTAGAAGGCATGCCCTGCGGTCAGATTAGAATCCGGTCCAATCCGCTAGGTAGATGGACAGGGGCGTCACTAATGGAGCTCTGTAGGGTTGCTAGTGTATGTACCTGAGTATACACGGGATGGTGGATTGCGGGAAGAGGACGGGTGTCAAGTTGACGTACGAAATAGAAGTGGTACCGAAGCCTCGTTAAAATCTGGTTATACAGTACCGTTCTAGCTATATCCGAACTATGACCTCCCCATGCACACAGGATCCATCAGGCATCCTTGACAGTCCCGGATTCTAAGGTCAAATCCCAATGGCCTTAACGATTATCTCAATGAACGGCATTTCACCAATGGCCCGTCTGACGAAGTAATCAAACTATGCATTTCAATGCTCCCTCGTTTCGGAGCCCTCCTCCGTATGCCACCCTTGGGAATACATGCGCTAACGAGATGCAGAGTCATCCGGTACCCCATTGCGATCAATAGAAATGGGAACGTATTCCAACCCCCCATGAAACATAATCCTATTTTACCAATTATATCGTCATCGCTTGCTCACGGTTCATATGTGCTCATATGATGTACATATGTAGGTATGTAATGTACTCGTGTCTTCGTCCCATATACCAGTCCCGAATCCTCTCCTTCGGTATGATCTGGGAGTCCGCTTATCTAACGAAGGGTTGTACCTACGTCATCCCGTGCTGATTGGAATGACATAGCATGGCTTTGCGAGGAGAATGGTCGTCGGATGTAGTACAGGGGATTTATACTGAAATGACACTGAGTTAAGGAAGGAGTAAAGGGTAGAACGGGGTTACGGGGAGCGAGAGACGGTGGAGCTCGAGGAAGGAGCTAGGGGCGAGAATCACTCTGGTCGCCATCAAAGACGTTCGTGCTGTGAATTCCTTGAAAGATAGATTCGCCCTGCGATATACACTGCCGCATCTACTCTTGGACGTGCTCTGGAGACACGCCTGTGATCTTTATCACTTTATATACCGAAGCTCGGATGCTGCTGCGCTCCTATCTCAAATCCCTTTCTACGTCCCTACACACTCCGTTCTTCGTATTTTTGCCTTAGGTATATAGCATTATAGTATGCTTGTGTGAAGCTTTTTGACTTGCCGACTCCGCGTTTTATCACTGGCTGAGAAATAACTTTGAGGTTCGAGAATGAAATTTGATATTTTATAAATATTAAATACAGCTAGTGACGTTAAAGTTTATATTAATATAGTTTGATGATAAAGTATGTCAATGGATTTTGTTAAATTTTCCAGTTCCATGTTCGGCGCGTTATTAAACTGCTTAACGAAGATTATTTAGTAACTGTATTGTAATTTCATGGGAACGGGTGGAGAAATTCGCTCGGTAAAAATACAATTGTTGACTAATTTTCATCGAAGCGTATTTCGCGGGAAATGTACGTATATGAATCTGAATTTTTCGACTATGAAAATTGTATTATACAATACGTTTGCAATACTCGCACCAAAAGCTTGCACGTACTTAAAGGTACGTGGGGTGTGTACATTCGCATAGAGTGATATTAAATGCAACCAGACCAACTGCAACTTCATTATATACCTACACTATGCGTCAGGACATTCCTTTTGTACTTGGATTCTACATTCAACTGGCTTGGTGCTTTCACTTTCTACCGTTGGCATAACGTGCTCAGATACAGATCGCAGTCTGTTGACATCCATTGATCATGACATGAATAATGAATGGATACTCTGGCTGAATAATGCATGCATCAACGTCGAACAACATCCACTCTACGTCGGTACACGCCATACGCAGTCAAGTAGTACCGTCCTTATACAAGTCAGCCAATTGTCAAACTAAGTAACCCACAACATGGCAACAACCTCTGATCCTCTTGTGTCCTTATGGACAAGAGAAAGAATACACAGGAATGTCATGCTTTCGTCAACGTTTATTTTCCCTTGAGGCTCGTGACCATGTATTTTTTTTCCCTAGCGAGCTACCGCCTGAAGAGGAGTAAATACGGTGGTAGACACTTAGTGACTTGGACCATTTCTTCGGGGTGCTCGAACTACCCTCTTGCTGGGGGGTTGTTTCACAAGGGGACTCTCAAGGGAGGACTGGAACGTGGTACACTAGTTGCTTTAGCAGGTCCCAGCTATTTGCGGCTCATCGGAACCATAATTAGTTTTTCGGGGAGTCTCGGGTGCGCCGCAATGCTGGGGATCTTGGATAGGCCGTTTTGGCTGGATAGCATCAGGGGCGTCGAAGCGTTCCGAATGGCGTCTGGATAGGAAGTGGCGAGAAGACCTACGGGAGTGAAGGGAAGCACGTTTTCGCAACTTTATCGAATTCTGGGTTACGTTAACTCGATCAGAGAGCCCTAGCGCGAGGAATATTTACCGCTGTTCAGGCCTGAAAGGACGGTGCTGCGAGACAGAAAGAGACGGTAAGAGTAGGACCAATGAGCGGATGCTGGGAACGCTTTGGCAGCCACAGCCTATTTCCAGAAACGCGATGCTTAATTGTCGTACTGTATAATACGTATCAAGGACCCTTAAGGTATTCAATAACTCAATGAAACCTTCGTTCCTGAGACCTGATCCTATTGTTGCTAATTTATTCTTCCGAATTACACGGATTATTACTGATCTTGTTCGTGACTTTTTTTTATATTTATACGTCCTATATCCATAGAAAACTCTTGTACGTACTTTCAGTCTTTCTCGTGCCAATCTTGAATCACGGTAAATGTTTACCAGCAAGAAAACAGCGACCAAACGTTAACCGACGGCTCTGTGCTTTCACTGTTACTTTATTACCTACTATCCGTCTACGTTTCAGGCTCCGTGAACGAGGCTGGTCTTTTTGCACTTCGCGGAAGACAAGAGGGCGGCAGACGATTCAAAAGAACCACCAGTACCACCAGCACCATCAGTCCCAATCCGAACATCAGAACCAAGAGCATCACCACTGTTTCACCTGCGGTGACTTCGCTGATCGACGATGTGGCACAACCTGCGGCACTTTTGGCTCCCGACGAAGAACCATGGCCTACGAGCCCACCCAGCACTACCAACCTTCCAATTTCGTCTTCGACAATGACACCCAGGCCACCCGTCGAATGCGTCGTGAAGCCTCACGACAAGGTCGTTCTCCCTTGCGAACTCAACGGAAATTACTCCAGACTCCTATTACCAGCGAGCAGGTATCACCATCAGTTTTCAGTAGCTTGATCTTATTTGATATTCACATAAATACTTTTGCATTCTCAAAAACATCATTCTTATAAAACTTTGAGAATTTTTTATCTCTCTACTTCACCTTACGTATATGACCAATTTTTTTATTGGTTTCGAGTGATCCGAAAGGTTGGATAATTATACTTTAAAAATGTCATTTTGACTCCAGTTTTTTTTTTCGTCTCAAATTTGTACTCTGTCACATCTTGTACCTAGGAGAGACGTGTCTAAAGTGACATAAATTTTCCAATGTTATTTCCATGCCGTCTCAGACACTTTTTGCCTCTATTTCATTCTCAAAATATTTCTTATTAATCGATATCATTCATACGACTCTACAGACGCGTAATTCTCTATTTGCCTGGTACTATATCGTTTCCTCGTTTCACTTGTACCCGTACGTATATTTCTCCTTATCTTTATTTTTTTTTTTATATAGGAGCTACAGGATACGACCGGCAACCTGGCTACACGAAGGAAGTCCCGTCGATATGATCACCATAGATACACGAACGGAAATGAGTGGCACTGGACACAGATATATCGGCGACTCTTCGACGGCCGCGTTGCATATTGATAACGTGAGGCTCGAGGATGACGGGATGTGGACCTGCACCCTTGAAGATGATCGGGGTAAAATCCTCGTCGGCAGACCCGTTCAGCTCGTCGTTCTGGGTAAGTCTGACATATTTATTTGAAGAATTTACTTTTTTGTCAAAACGCAAAATGATCATACTACGTTTCACTATAGTGAATACTAATGGGTACCTAATAGGTGAAGGAGAGGGGGAGGTCAAGTCTGTAATAGGGTGAAAGAATCAGCGTGAATGAATCGACTATAGCAGTCGACTATACAGTACTTGTACCAGTGAACGAAGCTGCAGTAATTTCCTGTAAATCCTTCGAAAATCTCGAAACTCATTTTGAGCCTTTTTATTGAATCGCAATAAGTTACAGTCGCTTTACCTTTTACCGTCTATTTTACGATACGAAAGAATCGATGCTGATTTATCGACGCAGGTAAAGTCTCTCCCGACGACGTCGACGCTACTGAGCGTCGAGCGTGAAGCGTCCTTTCTGAATTCCCCGGGTAATTCGGCCTTATGCATATTAATTCGCGTCACGTAGGTTACGCGCGTCGATGCATGAATATGCATTGCGTAAATATTTTTTTTCTACAAACGTGCCCTGGCAAGCCCTGGACCATGTGTACGTAGTATAACATACGTACCAACTCGGAGGCTGCAATTCTATCTGAAGCACGGACAAATAACGTCAAACCGAAACAATCGGGGTATTCAGAGCGGTATGAGTCCCGCCGTTGCTCTAACTGTCTCCATTCTGGCTAAAGTCAACCAAATGAAGTCCAACCAGTTCTTCATTTTTGCTCGGTCCACCCAGTGCAACAATGCATTTTTGCGACAGTCGCTTTTTTTCCTCTCCCGTACAGTACCTCCGTCGTTACTCCACCCTTTTTAATATACGACCCCTTCCGTCCGATAGAATGATGGGTTTTGCGCAGCTGATTTTACGTTCTGCTAGGAAATTTGACGGAAATTGTTTCGCGTACCTTCGTTCGTTGCTTTCACGCTGCTACCACGGTAATATCTACGGATTCTCTGCTCGTTGAAAATAAAAGTTTTGAAAAGGACTTTTTGCATAATCGACGAGATAACAAATATATATACATATATGTATTTATATATTTATATATAGTATGAAAAATGGTATTATGATTCGCGGTGTATCTACTGTATTAAGAATGAAAATAGGAATGGTAATAATAATAATAATGACAACAACAATAGTAATAGAGATATATGACGGCATTAACGAAATTCTCTCACGTTTCTCTATTTTTACCAGTCTCTCTCGCTTTTCCTCTTGTGCTTCGCGTCTCAACTTTAAAGTTGACGAGAAAGATCGACTGTGCCGTTGGGGATGGACGGCATCTATATTCGTGAAATTGTGCCGCGTGAAAATATGAAACTTTTTGAAAATTTCTCTCGCCCCTATAGCAGCCGCTATGAAAAGTTTGAAACAATACTACCGAGACGTTTCTCGAGTAGGAATTTTTCTGCAATTTAATTGTATCGCACCAAGGCTTCCTTATAAGTGAGAAAAATTACTGGCTGTAAAGTGTAAAGTTTAGGTCCTGTGGTATAACGACTGGTAATCGTCAGTTTTATGGATACTTAATAAAATTTTTATATCTAGTCTTGATCATTTTTATTTCGTCGCTATTTATCGGATAGTTTTCGTATATACGTTAGAGATTTTGAATATCAGCCAACCAAGATACTGCTGGACATATACACGATAATAGGAAGGAAATATGCCGAATTTATTGGTCCAATATCTCGTCAGCAGTTGAAAATCCGACAATCTCATACTTTAGGAGAGATAACTCCAGCACACCGTCGGGATATCGGGCTGCGTCTGATGGGGATAGATTTGCTTAGCGTATACGCTTGCCAAGAGCGGGAAAAAAAAAGTTTAGAATAATGCGGATTTTATACAGGATTCTCTCGAATTTCCGCCATTTTATCCGACAAATAGACTCGAAGCTTTAAGATGGAAAATCCACGGTGTGCTCGTCGCTTCGGATAGATATACAAAAATTTGTCTTCTGCTATCGTCGCTTTACTGACAAAACTTAAGAACCAATTTCACCGCCAGATGGCGACACCCTAAACGCATTTATCATACGTTATTTCAAATCCAGCAACGCGCCACCACCAACAATATCGCCTGTAAGAAATTTGATTTTCTCAAGAATACCCTATCAGTATACATACGCGTACGCCGCTAACGTCGAAATTTTTAACCCTTACCATCGTCATCCCTTATACTGTATGTTGACCAGGACGTATATTCTGAAATTCAATTTACCGCTCGTCCTCGCGATCGAGTACGTAGTACTGGATATGTATTATAGGTTCCACGAGACTGCCTGACCCTGACAACGGCCAGACTACAGCTTTAGTACTTTTCCAATCTCTATCTTTCTACCTCGCTTCACTTATTCCGTAAGGTGGACGCGCTATAGAATCTTCAGGAAAGTCGCGTTGTCTGACGCGAGGGTACAGCATTCTACTGTCTGACCAATATCGGTCTTGTACTACTGGGATATCAAGCAATAACGTACTGCTTCTGCTTCGGATAGCACAGCAATTCGTAATACGTTATATCATAATAGCCTCCAGTCGATATAACAAGTAACGTTATGGGCAAGGGAATATAATTGAGAAAATTTAGATTGCACGTCAGACACGTGGATATAGGAGTATAGAAAATAGTGATTTTATATAAGGTCAATGCCGTTGATTAGTTTACCGTACCTTTACGGTATTTTCTTTTTTCACACGGGAAACGTTGAATTAGTTTAGTCTGTCAAGTTTGATCAAGGGATAAACCGACGCAGACGGAGACGTTTACGGAAGCCATTATATCGGTTCGCTGGTTTTAATAGCCTGTGCACACACGCACGAATCCCGGTTGGCTGCGCTAATGCAAATTCCGAAAGTCACGGCGCACGCGTCACTATCCGTATCAGCTATGCAAACTCTATTTCCTGCTGGCACACCTTTGGTCATTTCCTCGGTTAAACGTAATGGCGGTTCACACATTGGTTTTACCGTATTACGCATTTACGTGTTTCGGTGGGCCTTATATTTTTGTTTTTCACGAGCTCCCCTATTACGTAATACTTTATTTTTCTTCCAATCCACGTGGTCTCTACTTATCGAATCAAGTTGCCTGTCGCTGATTTAAATTTAAATATGGGGGGTTCGCCGAACTCAAAAGACTGCACGTAGAAATTGTACGACCAGTCGTCAAAGATCATGCGAACAATCGGCGCACGTGACAACTGGACCAGCAGCATTAGTGCAGCTGGTGTAAATTAGCGCATCAAAGCTCACCGTTCCTCCTACACGGACACTAATTATTGACGCGAACTAGCCATTGCCCACTAACTACCCATTGATTAGCCGAAGGCTCTCCCCCTAATTAATGGAAGAGTGACGGCAATAAATACTCCAACGCCAGCGTTGCAACTTGGCCCCAAATTAGATTTTGATGCTATCGATCCGACGGGCTCTAGAGACTTGTCCATCCGGTTCGGTTTACCAAAAACGATATTTTTTTTTTTTTTTTTTTTTTTTTTTTTTTTTTTTTTTTTTTTTTTTTTTTTTTTTTTTTTCACCTAGGATACTAGTTTATCCATGACCGATTTTTTAAACAGCTTTTTACCGCACGGTCATACCTGTCATGTTATGGTTTCAGATAGACGGACGCTCGTAGGTGAATTTAGTAATTTTACTTTTATGAGATTTTAAAGAGATCTACCATATGTCGATAACCATCTCAACGCATCCTCTCATTACCTAACCGTTAGTTACGTCTCTGCTAAGCGACGCATACAAATTGCCGTGAAGTCATGCAAACTGCCTTTGGCACATGTTGCCAACTCGAACGCCGTCGTGTTGGCCTGCTCCCACCAGAATGGATGGAGTGGAGCGACCTGAATAGCCAGCACTTCAGCATTGCTGCTGTTGCTGCTATTGCCGGACGAACCTGGAACAGGGAAGATACGTACATTCCTCTGGATCTCTCGCCGTTAGCGAATTGGGGGTAGCTGATGTAGAGTGGCCAGCCAATATACGTAACTCGAAGCTTTCGGTCTATGATGCACTCAAAGTCCTGTCATTCGTTGCGAAAGCTCTCACGATTTTACGATCTTATCCTCGAAGTGCATTTAACAACGGTCAGCGAAACAGCAGGCAGTCATTTGAGCTTTTATGGAATTCCGAAGATCAATCGGAGCGAAGTGCGAAAAGAGTTTTCACCTTTTCGACCCACTTCAATTTACTCCGTATACACGTACCTCTACTCTGTGTCAGTGTAGTCGCTTTTTGACGATCATGTGTATATATTTTATTTTTTTAAATCTATTTCGACATTCCTTAATACATTAGACGCGAAAACTACGGTCGACTATGTTTATCCGTACGGGTGAAACTTACCAAGACCAATCGTACTTAACCATAGAGCTTTTCGACCTTCTGGCAAATAGAGTCTATATAGCATATACTGCTGCGTTATGGTACGTAGCGATTACTGGCGCGGTACCTATTGAAGTTCCTCTCGTTGCTTGATACTTGGAGGGGCGTTAGGAGGAACTTCGGTTAATATAACATGTGGGATCAGGCTGTGTACATTAGGGTTGAGAATTGGTTATGCTTGGTACGCGAGAATCGAGAGACGATATCTTTCATTAATTATAGGGTATATAGCCGTAGTTGCCTGATAAGGTCCGTCGTAGATAAGGACGTCTCTAACAAGTTTGGTTACCTTACCTGCGTCTGTCGTAGCTGGAAGGACGAATTAGAGCTGAACTTTCTTTGTCAACTTTTCCCTTCTCACGTATTATGGGTTACATAGGAATATCTTGGCTTTATCGATTTCCCCTATGTAATTCCGAATTTGAATGTTACGTGTGACTCGATAAGAGGCTCCCCTTCGTCTCTCCACTGTGTGCATCTCGTGAAGTTTTTATTTCCTCTGGACGCCATAACTTTTCGCGCGATCCTTGCCTTTTCCAATATTCAAAAGTGATCGCGAAAATATATTCACATGGAAATTTGGCACACTTAACGACCAACGTACTTACT